CCTATTACGCAATATTACCAAACAAACCTATTACAATCACTTTTATAAGGGCTTAAAACACAGCAGTGTAGCAACAGTCTGAATATAACCCGCTACTCTGCAGAAACACTTTGATTGACATTCTCCCTTTGCACGTGTCATCAGAGGAGTAAAGCCCCGCCCACTAGTGACCATCTCTCCCCCTCATTAGCGCAGGGCATTAATCTTGTTTTTTTGATCTGCCACTATGCTGACACACAGGCATCTGTAGCTCCGCCCTCTTCTGAAAAGAGCACAATCTCATTTGAATTTAAAGCGACAGTCACCAAAACACCGCAATCAGAATCAAAGCTTAAAATGGATCATTCATTGATTTTCCTTCAGCTTAGTCCCTTATTTATCTTATATAATAAATTAACGCTTTCAAATAACTAATGGATGGAAACTATCACTGATTTCTCACTAGAAAGCATTGTTGCTTGTCAAATGCAGCCTGTGGCATGCGTAATAATATTGTCAGAGCTACACATGTGTCTGGGTTCTCTTGATGAAGTCAGGTCTGGATGAACAACCTAAAGTAGAGTTATGCTGAGTTTAGACAGCAGGATTTTCAAAGTAGTGGCGTCACAGATGTTTTCACACTGCATGACTATCTGCGGTAGCGTTCTATCGCTGCTGTTTACACTGTAAGATGGGTCACCTATAGCTTTCGTCATGAGCCAGGGCTGTGTTCAAAGTGCACTGTGAAAGGAGCACAATAGTAAACATGAAGATCGCTAAAACTGAACTGTAAAGCTATTTTGAAAGCAAATGACACCTAAGAGAGATGACTTTAATGCTTTTTTAAAAATCATTCCAAGTTTAAATGTTGGAACATATAGGGGCATAGGGGGGATAAGTGGGATTAGAACACAGCCAGGAACTATGTTTCTAACTACAGCTCCAGAGGTGTAGTTGCAAGTGTACAAGTTTGCGTCGCAGTTTGCGAATGTTCACTGGAATGACAGATTTGGGAAATGCCAAATCAACAAACTATGTTTGTAGACCTTAGTTGACTAACGATGGTTTTCGGAAACACACCCCTGGTTGTGATATTGCTAAGACGACACGTCAAACAGACACGGGTGCTCCTGCCAAATTTCCACTAGTCGTTCCTCTATTTCTTGGGTCCAAATAAACAGAAAAAAAACGCTTTTAACTTCTCAATGCGGAGGGTGAGTCTTGTCGCAGTTTGTTTTGTCCTCTGACTGGGATTGTCCACCAGGGTTTTACACTCATGGAATTTACATGATAACAAGTAAACAATGGCGTCTGCGGCTATGTCCATTTCCATATACTGATCTCTTTTTATTGTACTATGCCTAGGTATACACAGATTTGCATTATTTTCATTAGGGGACCTTTAAAACACTCCAGTAGCGTGAGCTTGGCTTGAGACCCTCTAAACCAGGGGTGGGCAAACTCGGTCCTGGAGGGCCGGTGTCCTGCATAGCTTTGCTCCAACACTAATCAAACACACCTGAACATGCTAATCAGAGTATTCAAGATCACTAAGGCTGCGTCCGAAACCGCCTACTACATTTGAATTTAAACGTACTACTCGGCCGTTTGAAAAGTGCGTACTATGTCAGGGGTTCCCAAACTTTTCAGCACGCGACCCCTAAAATAACAATACCAGTGACTCGCGACCCCCAATATCCCCTGAGGTGGTTATAAATACAGAAAACTTGCATGCAATGGCGCACACACACACCAATACACCAAAGTCTGTTCTTCATTACATTTTTTTAATGTATTTCAGTGCTGTAAATGGGGCAGAAAGTTTAACCTGGTGTTATAAAATCAATATTTAGACAGCTATTGCTGTCTTTAAAATAATGTATTTACCCCAGAGGTCGCAATCCAATAGAACAAGTAAATAAGCTACTATAGTAACTATAAACGGCTGTTTTTTTCTCTTCAGTTGGTTATGGATAAAATATGGTAATTCTTATGGTCTAATAATAATAAGTACATTTTTGGAAATCACCAGGCGACCCCCCTTCATTGTTCCGCGACCCCTGAAGGGGTCCCGACCCCCACTTTGAGAACCACTGTTCTATGTAGTATGAATGTGAAAAGTATGAATGGAATTCGGACGTACTACATTCGCCATTTTGTCATGGTGACGTGACCTACCTGCGTCAGTTGCGTCGCCTCACTTCCATTCATAAATTCTCTCGCGGGGCATTATGGGATAGCGCAGAGTGCATGGGATGCGCACTCCAGAATCTCGCCGAGTAGTAAGTCATCCGGGCACTTCTCGCATACTGATTTTCGGATTCTATGAATTCGGACATACTACTCGGCTCGCATACTGATTTTAGCATACTATATAGTATGGAAGTATGCGATTTCGGACGCAGCCTAGGAATCTATAAGCAGGTGTGTTTGATTAGAGTTGGAGCTAAACTGTGCAGGACACCGGCCTTCCAGGACCGCATTTGCCCACCCCTGCTCTAAACTGATGGAGAGAATATGATTAGATTACACTATACTGCTATTCTGTCCATGACCAGTAACAGTTATGCACCCTATCCAGCAAGAGAAGTTTGGACAGCATCAAGAAGAAACTACACACACACACACACACACACACACACACACACACACAAATACAAATAAATCAAAGTGAATATGTGAGCGGCACAAGCTCACGCAAGTATTTGCAGGGTGGGAGGTTGTGTGCTGGTAAGAGTGGAGATTTATGAGATTTGGAAATTGGGTTCAGGACGAGGCACGGGCCACAGCTGACCTTCAGCGCCGGGAACCCAGGAATGATGATTTTCAATTAAACCGCTAAACCTTCCCCGAGAAGGCCTTGCTCGCTGCCTTTCATTGTGTTTCTCCTTGAGGAGACGCTTCCTGAACATACTCAAAAAGACAAATGACGATCAGGAGCACAGATCAGACACGGCCATACAGACGGCATGTGGAGATTCTTCTCACACACATCCTCCATAATGAGGTCACAGCGTCCCATACTGTTCACACTCTGTCCTCTAGACATTAGCAGCAACAGCGACACTTCTCTCACATACTGCTATTTTTAGTTACTGAACCAATCGACAGATTAGGAACAACAGCGGCCATGTGTGTGGATAGAGATCTGTCCAATGGGAATGTGAAAAGCTTTAAAGTACACCTCAAATCAAAACTAACCATATTGATATTTTTAACTTCATCTTTGCGAGTCATTAAGAAAAAAAAAAAAAGTTTGTCCTTGTCATCTTTAATTAAAATCTGAAAATGCACTTCCTGTTTGTTTTCAGTTCAATTCTCAGATTAAGTCTGTCTGAGGTATTGGGTGGGGCTAACATGCTTAACCACGCCCCCTCCAGCTGTCAGTTTTGACAACAAACAGAAATGGTGAGCAGGAGGAGTCTGTTAGGTTGTAATAACTCACCCCAAACACTTTTACTTTACGTGCATACTATTTTTTTTTTACTTTATTATATTAAATTTTATAATATTATGTTAATAATAATAATAATAATGATTTTTATTTATATAGCGCATTTCCAATTGCATTATATAGCAATTTTATTATATTGTAATATATGAATATAATATTATATTTTATTGTATATATATATATATATATATATATATATATATATATATATATATATATATATATATATATATAACATATATAATGCAAATGTTGATATGATTTATTTACAATACAGTTTGTAAACTAATATTTTCTGTCCTTTAGTACATCTATTATATAAGAGACTTGCTTTGTTTACCAAATAAGTGAATGCAAATGGACATGCATTGTTAATATTCAATAAAAGTTAAAAAGGTATTATTTTTTTCATTTCATATATTATATTATATAAGTGTTAAGTTGCGATACTCGTAAAATAATTCAGCCAAAATCAGCAGATTCTTTACAAAATTCTCTGCAGAAATAGCAAAAAACGTCTGCAGATTCTGTCTGGCCCTAGTCCTATGTTATCATATGCAATCATGCCTTCAATGCAGAATCATTTCAACCGGTGCTGAAAAACATCCCGTGAGTAAACTAGATCAGGTGAATCAATTCTCCGCATTTGGTGTGAACGTGTGCCGTTACAATGTGAAATGCCCAGCTGACATTTACATTTGTTCTATTTTTATTGCTTCCCTTGTTGTGGATTTTATAATTGTAATATATAATCAGTGTGTCGTTTCCAGGCCTACATGACTGAAATGAAATACACTCTTTTTCCACCAGGTGGCACCACGGTGGCTCAGTGGTTAGCACAGTCGCCTCACAGCAAGAAGGTTGCTGGTTCAAGTCCCGGCTGCGCCAGTTGGTGTTTCTGTATGGAGTTTGCATGTTCTCCCCGTGTTGGCGTGGGTTTCCTCCAGGTGCTCCGGTTTCCCCTACAGTCTAAAAACATGTGGTTGTGGCCGTAGTGTATGAGTATCTGTGTGAATGTAAGAATGTATGAATGTTTCCCAGTACTGGGTTGCAGCTGGAAGGGCATCTGCTGTGTAAAAATTTTGCTGGAATAGTTGGTGGTGCATTCCGCGGTGGCGACCCCTGATAAATTTTCCACCAAGACATCCCTTCCTTTCAAACGGGCAGCGGGTTGGTTATAGAGGCCAAAAAAGAGCCTGACATTCAACATGGAAAACACATGTTCAGAGAATAACTAACTGTATCGCTATGTTTCAGACAAACAAATATGTTTAATAAGCATGTTTCTTACACATCTGCAAACATATTACGCTATTTGTATGCTTTAGAGGAGTCAAATACATTTATTTTTGAATGGGTCCATATAGGGTTGCAGGAGATGAGGAGTGTGCATGGAGCTAGAGGTTACACATTCAGATCTAAATCATGATGACAGGATCTGGACTGAGTGGGATCATAACCCAACCTTCTCCATGCCCTTGACACCATACACATCCCCACACTCCAACCAAAATATCTATGAAACGTCTGCTAAACGACAAAGAGTAGAAACCGATCCTGCCATTAC